TTCTTTGATCTGTTGTTTAGCCACGCAAACATACAGATACTCGTCATCCAAAAAAATACGCTTCTTACAGGAACCAAGGATTTTTCAAACACACTTGTCTCAACAGATGTTGTATTTGCGCGCGATCTTTCTAAAGATGAAAATTTATTGCTAGTTTAGCGATACATCACGTTGATCCTTACCTTGATGAAATATATTTTGCGTGATAACAATCACGCTTAAATTGTTATGATGACTATCTTTAGTAAATAAGTTGACGATACCGCTACTACCAGATAATTCGTGCATCAAATCGTCAATAATGACCAGTTTTGACCTATGATCGCCCACCCAATCGCTATTCCGTGGTAATTCCTCGTGAATCTTAATATTACTCCCGAGATCGCGGTAACCAGGCTGCCACTTGCCGTAACATGAATTAAAACCCGCTCAAATCGAGTACCACTCATACGGTTAATGTGTCGTAACAACCGTCTGACAAACACGGTTTCGTCGCAACTTGTGGGCACACTCAGTATACGTACACATCCACGGGTGTTGCCATCGCGTATCCGTACTGCCCAACTAAACTCAATGAAAAAGCTGATTGACCACGGCGGTGGCCTCCACGGACCGCTCGAAAAACCGCAAGCGCTTATGGAAGGCTAGTGCAAAGGTGGCTCGCGCAACTAATTAGCTTGTTTTGTCGGGGTCAACCGCCAATCGAGCTCTTTCCGCCACCACCGCCGCCGCACCCCACCATCGCTCATGGATGACGATCAATCAGCTTGCAACGTCGCAGCGGTTGGAGCACCTATTGCGCATGATCAAGATTACCTTATTAAAAAGCTTCCTCCTTATTTGTGACAGTTTTGAGGTTGAAGTCACACGAGTAACTAACATTATGATGATCTTTTTTGAAGGTTAAAGATTCGTGATTAAGAATGTGTTGAAGTCATAGTTTTTGAAACATGTATCAAGTTTTATTAAACATTCATCGCAACGATTTCAAGAATGCTCTGAAACGAGTACAAAGTGATCAAATACATTTTTTGCTACGTAAGGATGATTTTTTTTTTTTTGGTGTGTGATTTGTGGTGAAGAACGTGCTGATGTCATCTTTTTTGGATAATGTATTGTATTTCACTAAACATCTGATGCAAGACCGATACGACTTTGAGATAATCAGTTATATTTTTAACTAGTATAAATGAGTAATGTGTTGGTTATGAAAAGGCCTAATTTTTTTAATTAGATTAACTATCTTCTATAAATTTGTATCCATTATTTTGGATTCAGAAAAATATTTTGGGAAACATATTTTTTTTTTTTCCACATGATTTGTCTATAAGCAGTTTTCAACAACCATCATCATCATTGTTTCTAGAGCTAGTCGTATAAGTGTTTGATTTGATACGTCTTAAGCTCATCTTGCCGTTTACTTGTTGATGCATTGGCTGTGAAAAGGGAAATGATCAAACCAACAGCTTTGTCGTACCATAACTGAGTGAGTCTTTTCTCCTACTCTTATGTATTACATCTCTTCTCCTGCGAAATCACGTCGGTAACCATACGGATAACTCGTGATCATGCTGTCTAAATATCTGTTACTTTAGACTGGTTAATACGTTTTTATTGAGTCACTACATCGTGAAAAATTGTGCGACGAATGGAAAAATTTGACAATCTTATTTCCGTAATATTAGTCATAACAAGCTCACGAATTGTATCAAAATTTATCTCTCTACTATTGCTGTAGTTAAATTTGATACTTTTCACTTTGCAAACATAATTTTCACTACCGTTGGGCTTTTTAATCTTATATGCGTAAGCTTTGGTATGCCAGATAAAAACAAAGAAATGTATGTGCCAACTCCTTCATCGGCTAATTCGTCAGTGAAACTGCCGAGCGTCGTGCCAATGAGTAAATTGTCTAGTCCTTCTTGGAAAATATAGAAAATAGAATTTTTGTCGTAATAGAGAGCTCGTTCTCCTAGAAAATGCAGATACTCGAAGAGCTTTAAGCGCGATTGTGCTCACATGAAAGCGGCAACCACAACGTTACTTGATGGTAATGACGTCAAGGCCTCAGTCTTATAATTCTAGTTAACGTCCAATTCCAATCTTTGTTAAGTTTTCACATTGACCAACTTAACCCTACAAAGAATTGCGTATTAATTTTGTGACGCATTTTAAACCAGCATTAAGTTTGATTTCATTTTTGTCGAGATTTGTTCCTTCAGTTACACGAATTTCGTCGATGAAGGACTCCTTTTGCTCATTAGATATACAGGTAGGTGGATAACCTGAAGCTAGTGTTTTTTGTTAAAAAAATTCGTTCATCTTAAATGCAAAAAATACCCCATTGTCTGTTTCTTGATTGTACTGTGTTACCTGATATTGATATATTTCATAAACATTTTTAACGACATGACCTTTTCTTATCAGAGTCATAGGTACTTACACTAAAAGAACACTACAAACAATCGATATAAAAAACAAGGACAAGGTGTTCAAAACTACTCTTTTTACTATTAATAAGGATTCATTACGTACAATGCGAATACTACGACATACTCTGTTGGTGGCATCCTCGGACATATTACGTACGATAGTATGGCTATGCATCCATGCATTCTTTCTGGCCTACACCCTAAAAGGTAGGGAAATAGAGAAGAGAAGTCTAGGAAAGGAAGTGACTTTCATTCTTCATTTTTTGATGTGAAAATATTTTATACGAGGTTTAAATTTTCACTTGGGCAGTAAAAATTTTCAAAGCGTAACGATTTTTCTGTCAAGCCTACATAGATGTACTAATACTGTTCTCTCTCTCTCTCTCTCTCTCTCTCTCTCTCTCTCTACTAAGGAGCACTAAGTTAACACTGCTACCAGCTAAAATATACAGATGTACTATACCATATTTGACGACAAGCAGTGAAGTAGGTATGTGTGCGCGCGCACACACACACACATGCTGTGCACGGCTGCTGACCAATAAGTGGCCAGTGCTGCGTGTTGACGCTACCACCTGCAAGAATATTGGTCTGTCTAATTCAGAGGTGAGGCGAGTGGTCTACAAGCCATAGGGAGAGACTGAGAAAGATGACAGTTGCCGTGCATCCGTGCGCGTGTATTAGTTTACGTCCATCAGTTACAATCAACGCGTATAAATATAACCTTACTTTTTAAGCACATTGCTATTTATATTCCACCAAATACTAACATCAATGAAATTATTTGCTATTTGCGGTTTATTTTGCTTCCATGTTCAGATATTGGTTCTACTGCATTGCAAGAAAATTACTATTCTTTGCCTATGATTCTTTCTGGTAATTTTAATGTTAATTTTAAAAATGAAAATTCGCAGCCTTCTATTAACTTTCTTTACGATTTTTTACATTTACAAATTAATAATAATCAACATTAATCTACTACCAAAGATGGTACGACTATAGCCAGAGTTTTTTTGAGATTTTTAAATAAAATTGCATCTACAACATTTATTTTTTACCATACTTACCACAAACCAATTGTTACTATTGTACAGAGCAATGAACAACACTCTTTGTAATGATTAATCATGTCAATATTTTTTAGTTTGGTTTTTTTAGTACTTTTTTTAAATTAATAAATATTTTTTATTAAAAAAAAATATGATACTTAATTTCACATTTTTTATTTACTGAAGATACTACTATTTGTGAGGACAACTTTCACAAAATTTCAAGAAATCCAATTTAAAAAAACTGATTGAATTCACTGACATGACAGTAGCAAACAAACTTTGTAGCTAAGTCATTTCTATAGGTTTGCCGTAGTAACAGCTCAAATTAAATTCAGTAGTAAGTGAATAAAAATTTTCTAGCGTCAAGTTTGAGTATATGACGCTACTAAAAAATAAAAAAAATAATTTTTGTAAGCTAGCTGCCTAATGACTAATCTAGTTTTATTTTACTCAAAAGTCAGTAATGTTAACCGTAGCTGAGCATATTGTTAACTCTTGAATAGTCTTTACGCTCACAGTACTTACCACATTTGGATGAAATTAGTACAAATGAGTTCATTAGTACAATTAGTTACTCAAATAGCTTTATTCACCAACTATCCTGAGAACTAATTTTAGCAGTCACAACTTTTAATATATGAGATGAAAAAAATTAAAGATTTTTTAAACATAATTCAAGCTTTTTCAAGCGTAACCAAGCAAGATTAAACTAAACATTTATAGACTTCTTATTGTTAAAAAAAAGTCAGATCTGCCTTACTGCTTTTATAGTTGCATGATCAAAGATTATTCCCCTTTACGACCTACATCTACTATCATAGTAGTTATGGTGGTAAATGGTAATTTTAATAATGTATTATATGATAGTTTAGATAAGGAATACGAACGAATTCAAAGAGCTTTGATGGCTTAGTGGTTGGGTTTTTAGCTATCTGGTTTGATCAACTCAGCACAGTGAGTTAGATGGCTTACTTGAAAAGAGATTCTTTGAATGCTTGAGATCATTGCTGCACTCTATAAATATTACTCAGTAATATGGATGATTCAGTCGTTTCAGTCAACTTTCAAAATGGGTCCACACGAAAAACTCACATAATTGGGGAAAAAAGAAACAAGGATGGTAGAGGTTGAGGACAGAAGATACATAAAAATTGTGCTAACGGGTATACATGGAAAATCAAGTACTATACTATAAACCAACTCCATATCGTAATTTACTTGTATGTTCTTAGACAGTATGAGGTAATGTACTTTATTTATAGCTTCGAATAAAAGTGACTACTTTCGAGAAATTTAATAATACTATCATGATTCTGGAAATGCAGATATTTACAGAAACTAATCTCATTTTAAGTAACGACATTAAATAACAATTAATGCTTGTATTTGTAGATAATTTTACTATTTAAACTATTACAAGCTTCATAAGCCATCAACTTCTACTACTCTGATTAAAGATCCACACACTTCTTATCACCCAGTTTTTTTTAAATTTACATACTTAAAATACACTTACTGTTAGATCTTCGATCATCACTTCTTGCCCAACATTTTCATCCTGCAGCCACATCTCGTAGTACGTTCTAGCAAAAATATTGATTGCTCGATGCCTGTGTACAAAAAAAAAAAATTTTTATAACGTTGTTCGACTTATGACGTATTCGACGTAGTTGACGTATTTAACTATGTAATAATCATCCTAATTTTTTCAGTTTTTTTGTTGATATAAATTAGACAAAATTTTTACAAATAACCGTTGTTATTATTTGTACTCAGTTCAAATCTGGGACTCAGTCAAAATTAACGTTGATTTTTTAAAAGTGTGATTTCATACTAATTTTTATCTTTACTAGACTTTAATATTGAATCCACAAATCACATACGACAGCATAAAAAAACTGCACAAAGCTGATGGCTTTGTTATCTTATTACATGCATGCAGGGAAATTGTTAGAAGAACGATCAAAAGACTGAACTATCTAACTTTAGTAATTTAGTTGTTAGATGATTTTACATCAGTACTTGCTTATATTTTTAGTACTTAAAAATCAAGATCACACAATATTGTATTTCATTACATGACAAAAAAATTGAAATACCTTGGTAAGGAATGTAGAGAAGTTTGACGGAAGCAAGCTATAACAGCTCGCTTTCGTTGAATTGAGACCACAGAGCGATATTGGCTTTTACTTTGTTGTTGCGGGTGATCTATCTACTCGATGAAAAAAATATAAAAACATTGTATGATTATATACTGGGTTGAATAATACACTGAAAGTAAAATTACTTTGGGGTAAAATGTGTCACATTGCACTCTCAATTTAAACAAAGATCATGAAGCATTTGTAACCGATACTTGATCTTATTATTTTTAATTTCAATGACTTATAGAACAAAATAAGTAGAACTGTTGTGGAAGTTAAAAAAAATTTTTTCCTAGATGAGAACGATATTAACTTTTCTTTACATACAATTGTTGTGCTTAAAAAATAACTTTATTCTTTATCTGCACATAGGTAACTTTCTGTTCGTGGGATGGTTGCTATTAATTACTTTGATTGGGTGATAACATTAATGGTTACAGAAAAAATTCAATTTACCTTCTGGTTATTTAATTGATAGTAAAAATACATAGTATTTCTTACAAATACTTAAAAGGATTTTCCAAGAAATAAAATTTTAAACAAGTATTAACGAGAGAATTACCATATGTAGACCGTAAAGTACTTTTGCCATATCCGTTATTCTGGCCACGACATCGTCAACTTGTGGTGCTTTTACCAATTCCACGATATCCTTTTGCTGTCCCAACTTAGAGTACAAGTAATGTTGCCATGACATCTCGTCAGCTGGATCAATTTTATCAGGTAATGTTAGCTGCGTCTTCGCAAACTCTACAATCTCTTGTTCTGGCATTTTCTTTAAAAATCGATCCTTACAATGTTGGACTAGTTCTTGTTCCCGTCCAGCAAATAAATTTAATCCTACTGGGAGTAAACGCTTCAGACAAGCAACCATTAGTGAAGCTTGGACCTCTTTATCCTTATCTCTTTTCTTATCTCTATGCTTTTTCTTTTTCTGCATTGAAAAAAAGACAAGGTTAACATAACATAATTTTTGTATTTTTAACATGTTAATTTTAAATTCATTTTTTAGTAATATCAGGGTGTTATTTTGATGTATGCTTATCGTTATCTTGTTCACAATCATTATAGAAGATTATGTCAAATTTCCTTAATTACAGTTTTTTATACTTCTCTACTTGCATATGTTTACATAAATTAAGAATCAAAGTACGCATATTATTACATCGATCTTCTAGGGAAATGGCTTTTAAACTTAAGACACTTGTTTTCAAACCTTTGCTCCAGAAGATCAATACAATAATATACACACTTATATTATACGAGGGGAAAAAAGAGATACAAAAGTATTCAAAGTATGCACTTAAATATTTACACAAATTTTAATACTTTGGCATTTGACAAAAGTATAGGTTATTAAAAAGCATAGAGTAAAATAAATATTAAAAATGTATTGCGTTTGTGAATTCGTCCACAAGGTAAAATTTAGCAACGATGATGCGGCGCAATTGAAATAAAATGGTGTTTTACTAATGAGTATTTATATATTAAAAAGGCATTAGGCTAGTTTTATTTGTCTGAGATAACTTTATCAGGTGTACATTATGCTGCTTACTTTAAATTGAAGTACTGTACATATCTTATTAGTATAAAAAGTTCTACAAAGAAAAGTTTTTTTTTAATTAATAAATTTTTTTTAAACATTTATGTCTGGTGAGAAATAACTTATTTGAATATTAGAGTAATAATTACTTTGATCAAACACAAGTGCAAAAATTAAATACTGTGTTATTCAAACGAATAACAGCTGAACAGAAAATTATTTTTTCCTTTAATTCTGCACTGCGCTACTAAAAACCGGGTACGTGCAAGTGATTACCAAAAAATC